GAAACTTCTGTGACTTCCGTGTAATCTCATTTTTCTGCAAGTAGTTTCAGGGTTTGCCTATATTTTCTGGCAGGAGTTAACTGCACTGAAATTTTGAAACTGTTACTGTTTTATTCTTAATCGTTTTGTCTACTGTTCAACCAAAACGATGCTTTTGCCGTGCTTTTACATGTTTCTTCTCTTGGAAACTTTTCAACAGCTTCAGAAACAATCTTGTCAGCAAGTAATGGATGAAGCAGAAAAGGAATATAAGAAGATGTCTGAGCGAATTAATGAAGGTCAAGATGCAATGAAGGTGCAGATCTGCTCTCCCAGAAAATCATCTTCATTACTTCTATATATTAAAACCCTATCAAGTCCCCACCAGTTTGGCTACCTTAACTAATGCTTTGTGCCAGGCTTCATATGCGGAATTCATAGAAGCAGCACAGGCCAGTGCATCTCGCTGTAAGTTATCTTTAAAAACACACTTTATTGATGTTGATTCCAAATTCTAACAAGCTTCTGAATGGATAGTGGATACTATTTTCTTTTCCTTTAAAACTATAAATGTGATTTCGTTTAGCCACAGACACAGGACAAAGATGTATATACACAGCAAGATGCAGTGTTGCATAAGCCCTTCTGCCTAAAAATAAAAATTGTTAAGAGGGCTACATGAACGTCATTTTACTGAACAGGGAGTGTATATACAGAATGCCTTCACTATTTAACAATATTTCCTCGACTTTTGTTTGTTCAAAATTTCAGTACTCAAAACATCCATCCCTGAGCTTTCACAATCTTTTGAGAAGTCTATTGATTCACTCAGGAGTCAGTATGGGATCTCGTCATCTTCAGCTTGACAGATGGAATTTTCACCCTTTGGTAAGCTAGTCCTCAATGCATAAATAAATTTATACCTTCTTTAACAGCTTAACCTTTTAAACGAAAGCAATGACAAGAACGAAAGCAAGTCTCTGTGCATTAAATTTAGAATGCTTCAGATTTCCTATTAACTGTCAGTTACTAATCTAATACTGTGTACCAAACATACTCTTAAATAACTATCTTATTTGTCAGGAATAATTTCTTGGGAATTGCTGGATGGTTCTAGAAGGTCATTTTGGCCTTGATATAATTCTTCCTGCTTGTATAAATCAGTCTTTACTTGACTGTTGAATTGGTAAATCAGTTGCTTTCTTAGGCTAGTTAGTAGTGACATCTAGCACATTTAACATTGAGTTCTTCAAATCTATTAAGAAATTTCTTTTAGATTTTTCAGTGAAGACTGTGAATCATTAACATGCTTTATTTACAATTTCGAGTGATTTTATTTTGACGCAATTTTTATTTTTGAACATTTTTAGTAAAATCATGACAATATTTCTTTTTAACTAAAAGTAATCCTCTCGTCTAATGAAGAAGTACAGAAGAAAATTTTAGAAATTACAGAAAAGAAGAGAAATAACACAATTTAAATCTCTTCTAATAATTGTTCTAAATACATAAAGATAGGACCAAGGGTTATATTGGCACTTCCTTGTTAATTAAGGAGAATCCAGTGTGAATATAATCCATAAGAGAATTTCCAAGACAAATTGTAGAACTAGTCTCCAACCTGTTTTATCTTTTGTCTCTGTTTGTTTATCCTTCTCTAAAAAAACTCCTTTTTTCTAGAACTTATTTTCAACTATACATTTTCACAATAAAATATTTTGTACGTAAACTCAAAATTTTTTCCTACTTTTTAATCGCACATTTTCTAAAAAATCACTATTTCAAAACGCATTTTCCAACTGAACTTTTTTTTAATGGGCATCAAACAAGGGATTATTTTAAAAAAAAAAAAACCTCTTTTTAATGGCATCAAATCAAACAAGGGCTTGTATTGGTCTTTGTTATGTTAAGGGCAAGTGTACCATGTCAACTAAACAAGTAGTCAAATGAATCTAAAAAGTTCAGATTATTGGTTTTATGAGCACTTATCTAACTATTGGTGCATTTATATCAAATTTTTATATTTTGTTGGTGTGAAAACAATTCGAAGTGATTCTAATTATATATCTTTGAAAACAATTAAATCAATAGATAAATTTGAATTTTTTCTTGTACAAGAAAATTGTTAAGGTTCGCGAGTTCACTAGTTAATCTTCTAAATCTCACTAAGCCATTTCTAACAACTCACCATCTCTCTATATAAATGTGGGCAAGTCTTAATTAAGAGTATTAAATCACGAAAAACTTCAACTAAAAATCGCAAAATTAGTAAAAGTATCTCTCCTTTCTACCCAAATTCAGATTTTTTACTTCGTAATATAAACATGTTTGTTCAAAGAGGTACATAAGATGGGAGGATGTTGGCACTGACAATTGAATTGATGAAACAGAGATCAATTTAACATCTCCGAAATTCTGGCAGAACCAGCAATTCACTGGAAATATAAGGAAATTCATGCCACCATAATCCGATACTTAATAATAATCAACTATATCAATATTTGTTATTAATTCAAAGTTGCACATCACACACATATCTGTTGATAACAACGCGTACTTAAGCAAGCCCAAACATTTGTAAGTTGAATATTACATCAAACAAACGATTATTGCCGAGAATAACAGCACTCATGCTGTTGGAACATAAAACTGCTAGGGTGGTAACACACTACTAACTGCTACTTGCACAACCGGATAACATAGTACTCAAGCTATTTATTTAACCTCTCGACTTCATCCCGCCACTTTTCTGGTATAAACTCTTCCAGGAAGAATTTCTTGTGATCTTCTAGGGAATAAATCAGATTGGCCATGCAGTCCTCCAGCCTTCATGGGTGGAGGCACTGATGGCTTTGCAAGTGGCCTGCCGGAGCCAAGTGTCATATTTGTAAACTTCTCAGTTGCATCATAAACTCCACGCGACTTTCCCAAGTAAGTAGCTGAATAAACATACAAAGCCAACTGTTAAATGAGAAAATATGAAGTTATACACAAGTTTATTTTAAACTAATTCTTTTTATTGATTAAAAAGTGACTGAAATTACAGGCTTCTAGAGGGGAATCTAATATAGCAATTAATATAAGAAAACATAGCATAATATGATATGACAAGCATTGGTATTAAATCACAAGCACATCAATGGCAATATGTAACAAGTCAATGCTTTCATCAACTGATACATCTCAAAACACGCCAATTGCAATCATAGCTTCACAATGACATTTCTAAATATTACACCAACTCAACTTAGAAAATGGAGGTGAGATTGAAGTTAGCATGTTTCAAAAAGAATTATAAACAAGGTTTATTACTTACATGGTCCATTCAATGCAGGTGGCCGATACTTTTGCTGTCGGTTCACAGAATTATAGTTCTTGTCATTCTTAATTACATCCTGAGCCATTTAAATATGATGAAGTAAGAAAAGAACCCAAAATAAATAAATACACATGCAAATTAACAACAAATTGCTCCTGTAAATGCATTGCATTTAATTGAGACAATAGCTATTCCACCTCACCTGATTATTCATGTCCAACTTCCTTTGAACACCTGTAAAAGAAGTAAACTTACATCACAATCTCATACGTAAAACAATGCAACTGTAACCCTACCTTGCCTTCCATCCCCAACCAAAAAACGAAGAAAGGGAAGGACGAACATACTGCAGACATAAATCACAAACATACTGCAGCCATAAATCTGAATCACTTAGAGACCACACGGAAAAGATAATTACTCTATCCTCACCCCACCCCTTCTCTCTCACAAACACACCACACCCGTATCTTTAAAATAAAAGCTCCAGATTCCAGCACTCCATAAAACGGATAATATAAATAACTTTTATGGACAACAGTTAAAACAACCACCACCTACCAAAAACTACAAAAATCATATGGTAAACACTTCACACCTGCATTCAAAGTTGCATGTGGTTTGGCAGAAGAAAAATTGTTCACTGGCTTTGGGTTCAATGAACTCCCAGGATATCTCCTATATTTATGTTCCAAAGCTCCTCTTGCTCCAGCTTCAATAAATCAAGATCATAAAGGTTCATCAACTAAATATTCAACATCAAAGGAAAATAACATCAAACGTTAAAGGACTTACCAGGAGGTGTGCTTGCAACAGCAGCTTTAGGGCGAAGTGATGGTGGAACATAAAAGCAACTCTGCAACATTAAAGAAACAGTCAAAACACTGAAATTCTCTTCCACAATGAGAGACTACTGTAAAATTTGCTAATTAATGACGCTAAAATATTGATGGTGCAACCACCTGGAAGAAAGAATGTTGAAGGGCCTCCAAGGCTGTTGGCCTCTTGCATGGATCCCATGAACAAAGTGACTACATTTAAACAAAAGGGAAAAAAACCTATAAGTTAGTTATAAAAGAAATAATTACATCCTAGAATAGAGAACATTAAAAAAAAAAACCTCTTCCATTTTGAGATGACTTTTTTAAGGCATGCAAAAAGACAGATTGGAGAGCAGGGAAACATGAAAGAAGGCCTGGTTTTAAGCACTACTTACTGTAATAAGGTTGATTGCATCTGCACTGACACCTGGTATTAACAGAGAAAGATCGACACCAGCAACCTGCACATCAAAAACATGCAGACAACTTCAAGATAGGTAATTAAATTTAATTCATCCGAAGAACATATGATCATCAAATTTTTAAAGCGGCCATTTCTTCACCATCTTGTTTCCCAGTTATGACGGCAAGGTGGTGGGAAAGTAGTAACTAACATCACAAAAGAAGGTAATAGAAATTTTTTTCAATTTTTCTCCAAATATCATATCTTAATATATAGAGAAAACATAAACCTCTAATCTAGAACTTATGACACACTTCCTCAACATTTGGAAAATTTTGCAGCGAACAAGAATCAGAACCAACTCACTTCTGGAAACTGGTAATTGATGGCACTAGCAAGTCCAAGTCCCTCAGGCCATCTATTCTTGGTTGGGCTGCCTATTACACAGCATATCTTATAAATTTCATCTGCTTCACTGCACAGACATAATAAAGTACCAATTCAATGCTCAGTGTGAGAATTTCAATTTAAGGTAATCAGAACTAGATATCATAAACTATCAATGAACTATTGAGACATGCACTTTTTTGTTTTTATTTCAGATGAGAAGAGGAGTGACTCAATACCCAGGTAACACCAAACATACAAGATATTCGGAGTGACTATCCATAAAAAGCACCTTCACTATAAGTCTATATACATAGGGTATACAAGATAAGACGATGAGTGTATGGCACAAAACATTGCTTCATTAAACAACTCATTCCAGAACAGCTACACAAATGGGGTCCCTCTTAAAGAGAGTGATTATACCTTGAGCCCGGAAATAGAGGACGGAGGGTAAACAATTCAGCAATTATTGCGCCCATAGCCCACATGTCTGGAAGTTAGATAAAAAATAGATTAGAACATGAAAAACTTCCCAAAACAAAAACTCCTTTTTCATCATCTACTCACCAACTGCAGGACCATATGTTGGTGACTGAAGTAGAACTTCAGGGGCCCGGTACCTGCAAGGTGCACATTTTAGTATAAAAAATTATTCAAGTGTCAGGAGTAAAGTGAAAAACTAGAGACAACCACCCACCAGCGTGTTGAGACATACTCCGTGAATGGAGGTTGTGAGTCAATCTCCCGTGCAAGACCAAAATCAGCAACTTTTATGATATCCTTCGAGACTAGCAAATTCTCTGGGGAAAAAAAATAATACTAATAATAAATGCAAAAGTCATGAAAGACCAAAATTGTAGATATAAGTTTGCACAAGATATCTAAACTTTATTTAAAAATACAGCAAGTCAAGAACGGTCTCTGGGATTGTAAGCAATTAATAATAGGGAGGTATACTTATCTAAAATTGAAACACATATCACATCTTAACCATATATTCACCTATATGAAACTCATAATTCCCATGGCAGTGGACGGGGAGGCCATTACCATCCCTGCCTCCCGTCAAGGATTTTTAGGAAGCGGTGCAGGGACTAAAAAAATCTCATTTACTGTCCCGTTTATATTTAGTAATTAATTTTTTAATATTATTTATTTTTAAATATGATTTAAATCGAAAAATATAAAAATAAATAAAACAAAAAAATGTGGAAATTTAGGGCAGGGATACCCATCCCATTCAATTTTTGCCATTCACACACAATGTAAAGCATGTAGAATCAAGCAAAAAATACATATTTGTTATATACTTTCCCAATATGTTACTCTAAAATTCATAAAAAAAAAAACTCAAAGCCAGACAGCGGGAAGGGAACCCCAAAATAAAGCCGAAACGTGGAGGATATTGGCAAAAAATCAAGAAACAACTCGGAAAAGTCAGGATAAAGAATGATGTTGCAATTTTCATTTTGTAATCACCTGGCTTGAGGTCACGATGGAAGTATCCACGTTGATGCATGTATGCTAGACCTTGAAATACTTGGAAGCACCATGTTCTTACTTCTGCTTCTGAAAAAACTTTTCTCCTATCCTTCATAAGCTGGTAAAGATTGCATTCCTAAAATTTTGACACAAATTACAACCTCATCTACAGAATCAGAAGCTATTGGGAAAGCAAAGACATCTACAGATGGTATAGGCAGCACATACCATGTACTCAAAGACAAAGTACAAGACATCATTTTCTCTAATAACTTCCTTGAGCTTAACTATATTCGGATGGCTCATTTTCCGCAGTGACTATCAAGAAGAAAAACAATTGTTTATCTTACATAAAGAGAAATCTAAAACAATCAATATAAAAGTAAATTCTGTGTCACCTTGACTTCTCTTAAATTTATGCATTCTTCCCATGAATAATATTTCTTCTTCATCTTTTTTATTGCAACCTGTCAAAGTAAATACTAAATTGAAATAGAAGCAACTTCATCAATTTAAACGCAATAAGAATCTAAATGAAAAATACACCTACCACTTCAGCAGTCTGCTTATTCAGAGCTCGCCAGACACTTCCAAATGTACCATTACCAACTTCCTTAATAATTGTGTACCTGTATTTACTATTACGATAAGTCTAAAAATGGAAAAAAAAAAAAAAGAGATACTAGCAAATTTACAGAACTAAAAAGTCGAAGAACAACATACCTATCCATTCTCACGGCTTCAACTGCTCGTGACACTATTTTATTTATTCAAAAAGAGTAAGAACATAAAATAAAGATCAGTGTTTGTATATCCAACAGATGACTGTATATCAGTACTGTAAAATTCTTGGCTGATTAAGCAAAATCCACCACTAATTTTCTCTCATTCTCTGCATACGAGAAAGACCGACGGCATTATGATGGACGGGCTTCACAGCCTTATTGATAGAATATACCATATCATAGATCCCAGAATGACAACAAGGCAGAAAAGGCAAGGGGTAACTGTGAAGCATCTTTATACTGATCCAACCGAACAGATGCAATACTTAGCTCATTGCTTGATCAACGGAAGCTTCCAGACAACAAAATACACCAAAACAGAATCCAATGCAAAACTTCAGTCAATCGAACCTTGTCAATCTTAACAAGCCACCAGGGAGCGAGTGAAAAGAAAATGACGTTATCTAATATTTAACCACTCAGCACAAACAAGTGTGCTATTTAATATTAAACCGCGTAACAAGCTTCTTTGATTTACTTGAGGCCTTCAGCTCTGTGGTAAAAAGAAGAAAGAGAAATAACACCAGCTTACAAAATTCAGCATCATCTACAAAGATATATTAATTGCCCAGCAAGAAAATAATGTCTTAAAGATACCTCACAAATTGGATTTTTGAGGATCTGAAATGGATGTTGTATCGGCAATGCACTAGAAACAAAAATAAAAAATTCTTAAGAAGGTTAACAGTGTGGTCTCAATCAAAAATCAAAACAAGCTTTCAGAATAAATTTTAACATGCAACTCACTTGAAGAAGAGCACTAAAGATCCAGCATCTATCTATTTTAAAAGAAATAAGCATGTGGCCTTCTATACTGAACATTTAGAAGAAGCTGTTCTCTAAGTGCAATTGACGAAGGAAACAAGAAGAAAATCTCCAAGGATGAGAAACCTCCAGTCGAGAACTTCCTGGAATGAAAGAGCTTGGTGCTGGTAGCAATCAGACCAAAGGCACACTTGTTCCATGTCCGAAATACTATTGATCTCTTTAAATCAAAATCTAACAAGAAGGCCTGAAAGCCAAGAGAAACAATTTCAACCGTTAGACACTTTCTGAACTAAGAAACATGTTATGAGAAGAAACAAAAGTAACCAAATTATATTACACTCTGTGCAACTATACCATGTGAAAAATCAGACAAAGGAGGTAGTTAAGGTCAACCTACGAATTAAACACTCCTAACTGTGCCTGAAATATCATTATTTCATTAATAGTCTGTTATACACAATAATTTTACTTTATTCTTTAAGAAATCAATAACCAGGGAACCGATCATTTATATCTTTGAAATAAACATATAGATCAAAAGTCTCGTGGAAATGGTCTGTGCCCAGTGCAATCCATCAAACAATCATTGCTGTTAGTCAGGAAAGATACGCAATTAAAAATTTCCTTACAGCTGCATATGCAAGAACATATAATTCCAAATAAAATAAATAAATTAAAAAGTGTGACTATTGGGAATCCAAAACAAAGTAAACGGGAAAAACATATCCAGATCATAGCATGCCACACTAACCAAGCCCACAGAGATTTTGCACATACAGAATCTCACAAATGTGTTTCAGAAACTGAAATACACAACATGACTTTTTTTAACTTGAAGAATAAAAAAACAAAATTGTTGTTTAAGTAAATATCCCCAAGCTCCAGTCCACAGATACTTGAACACATCTTCATGCCATAAAAATTTGACTGCACAAAACCGAGAATTCGATGCAACCTAAATCCATGTGACTAACAAAAATAATACAAATTCCTAGATGCAAAGATCCCTCCCTTCAGGTCCCATCTAAATTATTATAGCTCACTATACAAAAAATTAAACAACCAAACTTGATATGAAAGACAAAATCTAAATGCAAAACAATATGAATCCTGAATCCTAACTGTACAAAAATAGCCTAACAAGAAATCAACGATTCCCCAACCCCTAACGATCCTCTAAGCCCCTAAATTTGATAAATATTCTACTCAATATTTTTTAAAAAACTATGCAAAAACATTGAGATGTTAGCATAATACGTGAGAACCAGACTCAAAAGTCGAAGAAGCGAAATTATATTTCGAAAAAGTTAGAAATATGTATATAAATCAAACTGGACCTAGAACCGAAGTCTCCAAATACAAACAATAATATAATAAAACCATCCACGAATCTCAGACGCGAAATAGCAGAAAACCCTTCCCCAAATTCAAATCCAGAAACCGCAAACCCAGATCGCTAAAATACAATTCAAGAACTACACCGTCAAAGCCCAGATCTAATTAAATCAACCCAGTCAATACACACATATAAATACAGAGAGAAGGGATGATCGATTACCTTTAGGGGTAACGGCATAACCTAAGAAGAAGAAACCCGGAGATGCCACTATTCCTCTCTCTAACCTCTCTCTATCCCTAGTCGTTGAATGATTTTTATTTTTATTTTTTTGGGTGTTGGCTGTATTTATTTGAGGTGTGATTTGATATGTGACGAAATCGATGATGATATATATATCAATATTAGGGGTTAAAAAATATATAATTGTGGGATCCGAATCTTCGCTTTGTGGCCAAGAAAAGGGTAATAATAAAGAAGAAATTCCTCCCTTTTACGCGGTTAAGGGAATTTAGGAATTTCCTTTTCCTTTTACCTTTCTTGGGGTGGGTGGGGTGGGGTGGGTGGCGTGGGGGTTGATAATTTGATTTTGAACTAGGATTAGGGGAAAATTTTGTTTTTTTTAATGAATGATTAGGTGTTGATTGTGTGATTTAGGTTGGATTTGGTTGAATGTTGAACATGTGCAAGAAAATCGACCAAAAGAAAAAGGAAAAAGACAGAGAAATTAGAAATAGTAAAGGTTTAAATAAACAAGTGTCATACAACTAGAGCTATCAAAATCTTCGTGTTATAGTGCAATTTTGTCTTTTGACACAACGTCAACGTGATTTAAAGTGAACGGAAGTCCTTACTTATCGTGTTATATCGACTAATTTTTTAAGCTAGAAAAATAAATTTATTTATTACCTTGCGAATTAGATACTAATTAATTCAAAAAGTATAACTCACACGTGTTATGTATTAGTTGGAATATAACACACTAAAATCTTAAATTTGCTAAGGTGTTAGCATTGTAATAATGGCATTTTTAAATAGATCAAAAGATGCGTGGCTGATTCATTGTTGTTTTGCATTTATCAAAGTGCCTTCAAATAGATTATGTGTAGCTGATTCATTGTTGTTTTGCTTATTTGCTAGCAAGTCTCAATCAATTTAATCCACTATCATTCAATGTCATGCATCGTAATAATATTTCACAACATAGCACATCAAAGTTAGAGGTGGCAAACAGATTGAGCCGCTCATCGGTTCGTCCCGTCAATGGTATCTTCGTTTCATTTTGAACTGAGCAATGATCACTTTTTTCAGAAGCCAGCTCGTTTGGCTCGTAGATCGACTCGTTTTTGGACTTGTTTTACTATATTTTTATTTAAAAAATTGCTCTTTTTTAGCTTATTTTGTTAACTTATTTTAAATAACACGAAATCAGTCAACTCGTAGGTGGCTCGACTCAGTCCATGATGCCCACAAGCAGAAAGGATCGAGCCGATCGTAAAATTTGAGCATGAGCCGAACTCGAGTGACTATGAATTGAATCGGTTCGATCTATTGTAATCCCTAATAACAACACGTTAAGAAATGTTAATGTGAATAACATGTAGATCACAACTTTAAAGTACCAAGACATGATATAGTTACAAGCTACAAAAATATGCACATTGCAATGTGAACCTCAGTAATTGGTTCATTCAGAGTGTGTTCGGTACATATTTTTATGAGAGAGTGCATTTTTTTGATGTGATGGGGAATATATAGTTGAAAAAGAAGGAAAAAATTATTGATGTGATGAAAAATATTATTTTATTGAAGAATGTGTAGTTGAAAATGAGTAAAAAAATGAGAATGAAAATAAGAATGTGGCCCAAACGTGTGCTTATTCAAAAGATTACAATTCAATAAAATTCCAAAAGAATCAAAAACATATCCAGTATATGATTCAATACATACTTGAAGGCATCCCATTCCCATGTGCCTACAAATATTTATTTATGGTGCCAAATAAAAGCAACATATAATAATAATATGTTGTGTGTTAGGTCATGGTGGAGGGTTTATTGCCAACCCATCACAATTCACATATATTTCTATCTTATCCATTGCCGTACCAACTTTGTGTTGAAATCAAGCCGATGGTTTTTTTCTGATTTATTGGAATCTTAATAATATAATAATTTCAATGTACATTTCTTGGTGGAGGCTTTATGAGGTGTTGTGGTGGTGACACGAATCTTCTTGTCAAGTGGCGGTGAAGATTTAAAAAAGGTGGTGGCGCCGGATAGGATGACCTAATCTTGGCACTATTAGTGTCTGTTTGTCAACCATTATTGAGAAAAAAATAGTGTAATGAATAGTATTTTTTGAAAAATGTGTGATTAAAATTGAAAGAAACTTTATCGGTTTATGTGTAGAATATTTTATTATTTGAATGTGTGGTAGAGATTCATTAATGTAGAAAACAATTTTTTGAAAAATGGTAAACAAACAGGGGCTAAGTGCTATTTGGGAATGAATAATGGCTTGTTTGACATGTTTTTTTGAAAAGTTAAAATAAGTTTTTGATGTCCAAAATTAACTTTTGGATTTGTTTGACTAATTTTATGAAAGTATTTTTGTCTAGAAGAATTTTTAGAGCAAATCGATTCAATGTGACTGTTTTTAAAAACACTTTTAAATAGGAAGTGTTTTTAAAAATTAGTTTTCAGACAAAAATTAAGGTGATTTCTTCCAAAAACTTTTCTACAGAAAACAAAAGTCATGTCAAATGGACCCTAATAAATTGATAAAAATTTGAAGCCAACAATTAATTTTAATAACCAATTTTACAGAATCCAAAATTGTTATTGACATTTCAGCCATTGTTCGAGCCCCAATTTGGAAAAATATATATTTTTGAATAGTAATTTTTTTAAAGAATAAGTGGTTAAAAAAAAACTCAATTTACGTGTAAAATTATTTTATTGAAAAATGTGTGGTTGAAAATGAATTTTAAAAAAAATATGGCTCAATCACATATTTCGTCATTTTTATCAAGTTTAGCCACTGTTTGGTAGGAAATAAAATCAGATTTTTAGTATATTTTGATATTAATTTTTAATTTTGACTTAAATTTAAATTTTATTTTTTACC